GTGTGTGTGTGTGTGTTGCCTCCAGATGACAGGAGACTGGCAGTTCATCGCCCTGGTGGTGGACCGTCTCTTCCTGTGGTTGTTTGTCATCATCACCACCCTCGGCACCCTGGCCATGGTTCTTGGATGCAGTTTCAATATAACTGCGACCCTTCCCATTAAAGACAAACAACCACAACCAGCAAACACACACACACACCACAACAACACACACACACACAGATCTGGAACTTTATACATTGTTTGGTTGTCACTTCATCTTGTTGGTGATGTCTGAGATCACCAGATCTGACTTTCCATAAATACTTAATGCCTATTCCATATTTCGATGTCAGCCTGAAATGTTTTGTAAGGTCAGGTAGCCAAAGAAAAGAAAGTAAAGTAGAACCATGTATACAAGCCTGACACGCAACATGATAACAGAATCCATGTAAAGATCTCCTGAAGCTAAATGTATATGGTAACACTCAGTGATTTTGCATTATTTTTTGTCTAAATCATCTATTTAACACATTGTGATCTTCTTTATTTGGGTCTAAATGCTTGAAATACATGTTTCTCAAAAGTGACTGTTTGTTTTATTTAAAGTGCCACCTTCTGTGTGAATGTGCTGGACATTGTGCAGGAATCCATTAGTTTGTGTTTGACTTGTTGGTGACCTCTGCAAGAACAGTGATTACACACAGCGATTGTAATGTTGGCCTTTGGGCAGTTGGGGGCAGTAATATGATGATGATTCAAGAGGTGAGAACACTGCTGTTGAATGAAAACTGGCAAAAAATGGTCTCTATTACATATGAGTATAAGAAGATTTAACCCTAATGTTCTAAAATGGCTTATTGTCACATTATTGTTATTATTTCTACACATACAGCAGTGGGGTCGGTGGGATCTTTAAGCCAATGTCATCAAATCACAGAAGTTAAATGGGATTACTTTGCTGCCCTCTTCAGTGATTGTTGCTAATTTTCTGTCATGTCATGAGCTACACTGTCACCTTATTCATCATTTAAATGATAAATACACCCAAATCTGACTTTCATAAAAACATAATTGACATTTATTTTTGTAATTCTTTAGCTCAAATCACTAATTCATTCAAGAGTCACAGACTTCTTGTACTTGTACACACTGTTAAAATGCTAATTGGTCATCTCTCAGTTTACTCTGTCTGCAGGAAGGAATCTTCTAACTCAAAGTACAAACTGAGGATCATAATTTATTCTTGACCTTGAAAACTGCAGCTGTCTCAGCACATAATCAAAGAAATAGAAATAGAAGTACTGTATAACTTTCTATATGATTAAAGGCTTCAGTGGTGAGTCTTTTAAAGGTGATAATTATAACATCTACTTATTTAGCCTGTCTGATACAGTGAGGGTAACTCTTCAGGTTTTTTGTACAAAATCGACCCATTTTGGATCAATACAGCACTGACACAATGCTGGATTCTTCTACCCAGTATCCAGTATATATTAGAGTTTGAAATATGGAATGGTTGTGAACTGTTCTTTCAGCTGCATTATCACTACTGATAGTTAATAATATAATTATCCTTTTCAGTTTTTTTTTTACATTGTTTAGTACAAGTTACAATACATTTGTGGTTTTAGGATCAACTGAACACTGATAACACTTCTTGTCACAGCTACAAACAAACACAAACAACCCCCAAAATACACACTGCTTCTATTCTTTTATATATCTGTGTCCAGGGGCCCAATGTCTCATAATGTTTCCATGTGGAGTTAACAACAGCAGCTATTCAGGAATATTGTTTCAGCAATAGAATAAGAGTTATTTGTGTAGCATTCATTTATGACACTGACTATCAATAATATGCATTTTATTATAGCCAAGAACCAGGGCTTTAAAGTTGAGCCTGAATACATTTTTGTGTCACCCTTGGGTGAATAACACAATGGTGAAATAACACTGTGTCAAAACAACTCATGGGTGCAGGATAAGGTTAACCCAGTACAGTTCTATAGTGACCCAACTTTTTGTATATGTGTTGGGTCTTTGCGGTGCACTGGCTCGTAGCTGATTAGGTTGTCTTACATTCCACACTTGCACTGTAGCCATTTTCATGCTCACTGAGCTACAGCATAAAGCCACAGAGTCTGTGATTGTATTCATTGTGTCCAAATATGTTTCTGCCCTGCATGTAGCACTTGCCAAGCTCTTGGGAGAAAAAGAACACCTCTCTCTCATTGCCTCAGAGGGACGACGAGAAGAATGAGTCCACAAGACCAAGAACACAGTCTATTGGTCCCGTCCTGCTGCTGCCGCACAAAAGCCAAGTCTTGTTGCATAAGAAGGCTGAAGGTGATAAAGACAGAGGACATGTAGAGAAGGGCGCCATCCCCCTCATTTGCGCACTCTGAGCTTTTCAGGGAAAAGCCGTGGGCCCAGCGTGTTTTATTGCTAATGCCTCAGTGACTTCCAAGGGCACTTAAAGGACTTCAATCATTGGATTTGCACTCCACTTGCTCACTTCAGACCCAGAGGAGGCCTCAGAAATGGGAGGGAGGGCCCCCGAGAGAATGTTGTTAGTGCCCTTCTCTGGGCTGATTTAGCTGTTTTCTTTTTCTGCGCCTATTGAGCGTTGAGCAACGGCTAAAGCAGCAAGACAAATGTGTGTTTACGCTTTTAAAGAAGAAAGTAGTAAAAGGGAAAAGAGGAGAGAGAGCAGAGGGGGGAAAGAGCAATGTTCTTTTTGTGTTCTTTGCGGTCCAGGACCTGGGTGGAAAAGCAGCCAAGAGGACATCAGATAAATCAGGTTACCAGTGGCAACAGCACTGGTAGGCCTGAGACTGGCCCCTGATCATCCTCTTACTCATCTTCCTCTGCTGCTTCTCACCCAACGCTTTGTGCTCACCTTTCTTACCTTCACACATTCATCCTCACCACATTTCCTTCATCTTTCCCTCCCTGACAACTCTTTCAACCCTTAAAACCACCTCTTCCTCCTCTCTTCCTCGCCAACCTCTGTATCAAAGTGAGACAGATTCCTTGAGCTATGGGGTCATTCCTCCCCAGCAACAATAAGGCATTTGTTGGCCTCACCAGCTAAGGCTTGAATCCTGGATACAGTATAGGGGGGAAGAGTTATGGTGAGAGAAGATGTGGGTGAAGGTGCGGTGGAAAGGGCAAGAACGTGAGAAAATGAAAGAACAGTTCAAGGCAGAAGAGCAGTGTTGGAGGAACAGACCTGTGAGAACAGTCTAGCTAAGCCTCATTACATTTTCAACTGTTAATCCAACCAGTAGGTGAGCACATTCCCATTAACCTGGCAGTGGGGATAACTTCCTCCAGGCTTATGGCTTATTACTTCCTCTCCTGTCACTGTAGGGCTATTGTTTAGCCACTGTGTGAAGTCACACACACAGCTGACCTCTGATATGGACAATGCCTGCTATTGTCTGCTGGTTTTTGTCCATTCACTGCTGGACATTGCCACAACTGGCATCTTAATGCACCTAATGGAACTGATCCTATTGTAAGATATTAGTAAGTACACTGTATTAAAAAAAGCACACATTGTTACCGTAAATAAGAAAAGTTGAGAAAACCATAATTTCAAGGCAACTGACTTCACTAATATTTTATAATATTTTAAGTTATAAGTCAAACTCAAAGTTGAATTAAACTAATGATAGTTAATAATAATTCAATTTACTTCTTTAGAAAAACTTGACAAAACAAACTTTGTCCAGAAAACCCATTAAAGTGAACAGTTAATAATTTAATATTTTCATTTGCAAATATTTAATTTTCAATAATCAAAATAATGATTCTGGTTCACTGCTCAATGAACACTTTTATACTCACAATTTTAGGTCGGTAAAATCTTTTTTTTTCTGTTTATTTCAAACGTAAAAGTTTGAGTTTGACGGCAGTTGCCTTAAAATGATGGTTTTCTCAACTTTTCTTTATTTTTTTACGGCTTCTTCTTCTCCTTCCTAACATTGTAGTCCTGAACCAGGGATTTCTCCCAGAATCTAACAAACGTCTCTCCTGTAGCTCCTCAAGTTCCCTGTATGAGCTCAGATCCACGCCGTCCTCTAATTTGACTAAAGATGTGTCAACACAATGGATTTTAAAGTAGTGTAAGCATGTAAAACTGACTGTTTTAGGTTTCTTTATGATAACATCCAGTGTGCCATAATATGAATATAGTATAGTTATACAGAAACCATCTTCTCTTCCTATCTCATTCCTATCTCAATCTCTCCTCTAGGACTTCCTCCTCCATTGCCACTCAGGTGCTAAGCTGAAGGTGAGCCTGACTGGATTCACTTCATATTCTGGATGGCACAGATAATGGCCTCTCTGACAGCAATAAATCATTCATCAGTCCATCAGTCCATCAGGTATCTAAATGCCACCCAACATTTTCAACAGGAAAGTCAGATTGTTTGAACATACTCTGCTTTTGGTGTTTTCTAGTGATATTTACTGCTTTGGTACACCTTTTAAACCAAAAGCCAGCAGCAACAAAGATTTCCCTTTTAAAATTAACCTTTTTTTGAAGTCTTACAAAGAACAGACGAAGCGAACTGCTCGGATGAACATTTAATCTTTCCACTCTTACCCAGTGGTTGCCCTCATTACCAGGTCACTAACAACAGAGAGGTTGTGAATCTGCTCTGAGCCGGTGATTGGTGATCTGTGGTAAAAGGACGGTTAGGAGTTTAGTCTACTTTGCACAGAGACGGGGACCTGAGTTACAGCATCAATCTGGGTCAGTGGTATACTGTAGCCTGTATTAACTGTGAATTGTATGCACACACACCCTTTCTAGACTACAGTAGAAGGGAAAGAATATTTAGTGTCAAATTCATAAATGATACTAGAGCAACATTATACTTGAATGATACTAAAATAAATATAAAATAACCTTATTTCTCTCTTTTATTCCCTTGTTAAGAAGATTTATAACTTTTTTTATAAACTGATAATCATATTGAAGTCTTTATCTTCAGCACATAATGCTTATATAGAGGTAAATATTCAAACTCCATGTCATGTTTTCTGTGGCTTTAGCATAACATTTTAAATAATTATTGAAGCTGCCATATGCAGATAGAGTAAGCCTGACACCTAACAGCAGTACATACACTTACTTACTAATTTAAAAAGAAGTTGAGTGTGTTTGGACAGTGTAATAATGTAGCCACTGAAGTATGTGACACGGTTGTAAAGGTTATGGATTGATAAAGAGAAAGTGTTGAGTGGAGAGACAACCTGTTGCTTTGCTTGAAGCTGAGGGGGCTTTTCCCAGCAGCTACTCCCCTACTACCACAGAGACTCGCATCTCCATGCATCAGCAGGCATGATAATTACACACCCACTTCACACCATCACCCACATCTCCTCGGATGCCCAACCCCGACTCAAGACCCCCGGTACACAACTCAGGAGCACACGGACACTAACAGCTGCTTTATTTTGTATTTATTTTTCATATTGTGCATCATTTAAAGACAATTAACAAATCTTAATAGAAATATCTGGAGCTGTGTTGTCTGCAGAGGAGGAGAGGGATCCAGCATCCACTGACAGCCATTCAAAAGTTCATTTAAAGAAGGAGACTTTTTGGAGAGGGATGGCCAACTCCGGTATTCAGCTGTTGGGCTTTTTCCTGGCGCTCATCGGCATCGTCGGACTGATCATCGGGACTATTCTGCCGCAGTGGAAGATGTCCGCGTACATCGGGGACAACATCATCACAGCGGTGGCCATGTACCAGGGGCTGTGGATGTCATGCGCCTTCCAAAGCACCGGACAGCTCCAGTGCAAAATCTACGACTCCATCCTGCAGCTCGACAGTGAGTAGCGCGCTATGACTGGGGGCGCTATGTAATGAAATGTCAATCATCACCACTAAAGCTGCTTATTAAAGCTCCAGCAGCCAGTGGTGGAATGCAACCGAGCGCATTCACTCAGGTGCTGTACTTGGTACTTGTAGGCCTTTGTGCTACTATCTACTTCTACTCCAACACATTTTGGAGGCAAATATTGTTCTTTTTACTCCACTACATTTATCTGGCAACTTTAGTTACTCTGCAGACTTAGATTATTAATAAAAATACACGTAAACTAATAAGTTTTGATATTATTATAGGATCTACCCAGCAGTAATTTAAATTAGCTCTGACTTTACCTGCTTCAACATTTAAGTGATAAACACATTAATGCATCACTAAGTATAATACAGTAATGTAATATAGGGCCTACACTATTCTGAAATGGGCCATTCTACATCCTTTTTGGTACTTAAAATATATTGTGATACTAATACTTTTGTGCTTTTCTTCAAAGCAAGGACCTTTCATTTTGTGTTAATTCTGGCGGCCCCTGTGCCAAAAACTGTAGTGTTTCTACAGTTTCATTGATTTCAAGGGTTATTATTTTTTATAAATTTCCTGAGAATACTTCTGTTATGATTTGGTGCTATACAAACAAAATCGAATTGAAGAAAATTGAATCTGACCTGATGGCAGGCATTTCGAATAAGTATAAAGAAGCAGCCAATGGACTCACTGATGGTCTTATTTGTTTATGTAGGTCATATAGAAGCACATGCCTTAAATTTAGACTGACGTTTAAGTACCATTTTGAATACGGGACCTTTATATTATCTACGATTTTGACACTGTAGTATTGCTACTTCCCCTCAAGTAAAACATCTAATACTTCTTCCTCTGTTGCCAGCAGCTGATACAAACTGAAATTCCCTCTGTTAGAGCAGCAGGTTGATCAGTCTGTTATTCATGACTTCAGCTCTCCACCTGGAGACCCAGGTGCTCCATCAAAGCTTCACCTGTGTGAGACCTCAATAGACCACACTGTTATCACTGATTAAGTTTGCCACCTCAGGGTATGAGCTGCTCATCACGCCGTAATTACCAGCATGGACACTGGACACACACACACACACACACTCTGCTATCAGCTATTACACTCCACTGTAATCTGTCACTACAGTGGGACATTGTCTTCTACCAGAAGGCTTCCTGTTATAAAGACAGTGGATGGTTCCAGGAGAGAAAAAGCTTAAAAGGAATTGAAAAGATTCATCTCTGTTCCTAAAAGCATTCCTTAGAAAACTTCACCCACACATTGTCACATTCTGGGAAACCCTCCCACCACACCTCCCAACATTCCCTGAGCACTCACACTTCAACACATACAGTAGATGATGCCTTTTCCAAGTTTCAAGAGCTAATTATGTGATCCATGGTGAAACCTCTTTGATGAGTGACATCTTCAAGACAGTCATTGCATCTTTCGTCACTATGGCCGTGCCTTTGTGAATGTATAGCCCAAATTTATCCTGAGATCTAGGTGAACTTTATATACTCATTATGAAATAATAACTACATTGTAAACACTACAAACGTTATTGTAAGATGTTTCCAAAGTAATCAGTTTCAAACATTCATAGGAAGGGTGACCATGGTAACTCCACTGCTGAAGCACAGGCATCTGAACAATCTACTGAACCCCAGCCAACACACATACACACAATGGCTTCAAAACAGTTTTAAGTGCACACTTATTCAAAGCAAACTGTTGTAACACTTTGTTATTGTTGTTAATAGCATTTTCCCTCCTTGAATTTCCCTCAGGATAAATAAAGTATATATCTATCTATCTATCTAATAAGTGCAAGAATCCTGCAGACTTTTGGCCTCGTTTGTTGACATATTAGAGGTGGGGCTTGGCTTTTGAAGTAATTTCAACCCGTCTCTTCTTTGACAGACAGAAACTTTTTTTTGCTAATTTTAATTGAAAACTGAGAATTTCTCTGCTGATATATATGACAGTATCTATTTTCTTTTGTTTAGATATCTCATTTATATACTAGCTATAGTATTAACTGCAATATATACGGTAGGCTTAATGCTAACCTGGATTAAGTAGGAAAAGCTGGCAACCAGTCTTGGGCCTCAGACCCTTAGGGGCCCCATCAGTTGGTTACCAATATGCACATTTGTTTTAGAAAGAGCTGGACTTTGAAGGTCCAGTGTGTAACATTTAGAAGATCTAGCAACAGAAATGGAATATAATATCCATAGGTATGTTTTCATTAGTGTATCATCTCACCCCTTTTTTCACTACCACCATAGTTTCTCCCTTGCACTTTGCATGGGGAGGGTGAAGTGAGTGAGTTGCAATCTGAAACTACACTGCTAGATGCTACCAAATCCTACACACTGGACCTTTAACAATAATATCACTAAAGTGTTAATTTAATTAACAAAAAACAAGTAGGGCTTTAATTGGGTCTTGCATTATCACCTGTCTTGTCTATCTGTCTTGTAAAAGGCCATATTAAAAAATGTATTGTGCAAACTGTTAAATAAATTGGTGTTTTATTAAATTACCTCAAACAGGAGTTTTATAGGGACGCACAGCTAGTTTTTGCCCCCAAATGGGCTGTGGCCTAATGGATTTCCTGTGGTGTTGTGATTGGCTAAGGTGATGTTATTTCTATTATACAGTTGTGTATGACTTTGCATACAGTATGTCAGCTTACATTTGTTATACAGTGTTGTAGCAGTTTATATGAGAAAAGCTAGTAGCTTCTGCTGCTGTGAAGTGTTATAAATATAGTATTGGTCTCGTTGACACTAAAAAGAACACTATGGCTAACATGTTTTTGTATTTTAACATATATAGCACATTTGGCACCACTTAATTTTATGTTTTCTTAGTGTAGAGTTTAAAATGTTGCAGTAATAATCTAAACACTGAAACAAACATCCCCTCCTCCAGGATTTACTTTTACTTTGTGAAGCAACTGTAAAGCTGCCACAGTAGCAATAATGAGAACAGTGTGCTCTAACGCCAAGTCAGGATACTGTGCATCTCACTCTATACTTGCACTTACTATATAATCCACCCTATTGTTTCCCATGTCTCACTATTTCTTTATTTTTTCACTCTCTCTCTCTCTCTCCCTCTCTGCATCCTCTGCCTCTCTCTACCATCCTTCCGTTCCTCCCTCGCTGCTGGAGGGTTTTGTTTGTTTGGGGCAGGACAGGGACGGCCTAGACTGGCACAGACTGGTTCTAGGTGGACAGAGGAGGGGAGACAAAGAGGGCCGGGGGGGGATGTGATAGGTTTATAGGATGAGGAGGAGGGAGGGGGGGCACTGACAGATGAGGATCCTAACAGTAGTGTTTCAGCAGGCCTCCACCTCTCAAACAGCAACAGATGGGAGGGAGATGGTGTAAAAGATAGAGCGTGAGATGTGTTTCTTTCTTTCTGTTTGTGTGTGCTGGTGTGTGTTCATGTGTATCCCATGGTTCCTCTTCCAGGAAAAGCTCACATTAAAATGTACCAACAGGCTAATGTGAATGTAATTCACAACCTCTGGACACACACATAAAGCCTCTCTGATAGGTCAAGGTCTGTTTATTAGTCCTTCTTATCATTTCCCAGTTTGTGCTTCCAGATTTGCACTTTGCATATATAGTAGGATTGATTGCTTGACTTTGGGTGGTCTTTGTGTTTATGCAAAGTGCTGTATTTTTTTAATATACTTTTTTAAGCTACACTCCCACATTCCACAAAACAAAAGGCCATCTATTCACATGCCTCCCCTAATGGAATCAACACACTCTTCCAGTACTCTTCTCATACTTTTTTCCCCCTTCTGCTGCAGGTTCGCTTCAGGCAACTCGTGCCTTGATGATAGTTGGCATCATTGTTTCCATAGCAGGTCTGGGCGTGGCCTGTATGGGAATGAAGTGCACCACCTGTGCAGGGAGTGACAAACTACGCAAGTCCCGCATCGCCATGACAGGAGGCATCATCCTACTAGTGGGAGGTGAGGATGCAAATGTGCCTTTAGAAATGTTACCCATACTACTTATAGTGTGTAGTCTGGATAAAGCACTTTCTTATTCCACAATGGCCAACATTTGCTTGATGTCAGACGTAAACGTGCATCCCCAAAAAGTTCTAAAACTATGAACCATAAAAAAATAAACAATTTATTCTTACATTAACAACCACACATTACACATGATCACACAATATGACAACACTGCTGTTGGGTTGTGTGCAAATACTCATGGCACATGGACAAGAATTGAAGAGATGCCACTATAAAAGGATAGATAGATCACTATAATTACTCTAAAACATATATAAAGGATTTGTGGACTGTTTTGTTTTGTTCTTATCTTGGTTAGAGTGCTCTCAACCACTCATAAAATGATATCTTATGTAAGAGATAAGAAAAAATAAGGAAACAACAGAAATCAATGGGTACTAACAAAATAAGAACCAATCATGGATACAAACAAAATAAAGGACAAATAAAATATAGAGGACATTTGTGAGCCATTACCCTGTAATGTCCTCCTTTAATTAGTCACAACCTGTAAGTCTTATATTTTACAGAAGCTTGTGGTAAACTTGTGATGCATAACGATTCTTTACAGTGACAGAAATACAGAGCTTTAAAGTGGCTCTCACATCATTTACAATTTTGGAAACATCTTTCAAACAAGAGGGAACAACAGCTTGCACTCCACTCCATTTCCACTGTTTACTATTCGCAATGTTTACTGTAGCTACTGTTAATTGTATACTGTTCATTTTATAAATGATATACATACATAATACTTTATATCTATTTTTTATCTTATTTTTGATTCTGTTCTTGAAGGTCAGGGTTGTTTAATTTTAGTTAATGTATAGTTTTGTATTTTGTATGCTACTGGATGTTGATTTGCCTCGGATAAAGGTTCTTATCTATCATATCATATTATTATTCTATCTATCATCTATCTTATCATCTATCTATCATCTATCTATCCGTATCTATCTATTCTATCTATCTATCTGTCTGTCTGTCTTGGTCTGTCTGTCTGTCTGTCGTATCGTATCTATCATCTATCTATCTATCTATCATCTATCTATCGTATCTATCTATCTATCTATCATCTATCCTATCTATCTATCTATTTATCTATTCTATCCTATCTATCTAGCAGCTCTGTGAGACTGTAGTTTAGGCTATTTTGAGCTTAATGCTAATGTCAGCATGCTAACATGCTCACAGTGATAATGCTACCATGCTGATGTGATGCAGATATAATCTTTACCATGTTTTCCATCTTAGTTTAGAGTGTGCTAACATTTGCCCTAAACACAAAGTAAAGTTCGCAGGTCATCGGTCATAAACTGCTGTATGGAAAGTTAATTTCAGTCTGGACCAAAGTGGTGGACTGAGTGACAGACTGAAATACTGCATACATACTCTACATACTGCAGAACCACATCGCTGGTGGCTAAAAATATGTTCAGTCTACCAATCTGTGCTGCGTGGCTTTGGTGAAATATAGCTATTTATGAACCAGCTGACTTTTGACCTCATGACACAGCCTCTGTATGGGACCTGCTGCATGCTAATCTATATTATCCTCTATGGGGCCTATGATAATCAATACAGAACTGGAAACATAATATTTCATTAAAACCAACCCAAACTGCCATCATCATCACATTCCTGCTTAGATCTACATCATACAGCAGTTAGGTGGAGGTTTGATCCCCAGCCCGAAAAGCTTTCCTCCCACTCTTCTGCTCCGGCCCTCCAGAGGTCATTAGACTGAATGAGACCAGTCCTCCTGGCACTGATTCGAACACAAGAGGTCTAACTGGCTGAGAGGAGAACAGAAACACTAAAAGCTAATTGTGCTGGAGTCAATAGCTTGCCGCCTGGTGCCTGTAAAGGGGATAAAAGCATGTCTACCCTCTCAGGTTGTGATGATGTGCTGATGGACTGATTGATCTTTGTTGTTGACTTTCTCTCCTCTCAGGGCTGTGTGCCATCGTAGCGTGCTCCTGGTTTGCTCACAATGTGATCCGGGCTTTCTATAATCCCTACACTCCAGTCAACACTAAGTAAGTGACCCAAAAACACACCGTGTTCAAGTACTGTAATTTACTCTATCTCTAGAATGAATGTCACAGTATTCCTTTAGACATTGATTCCTAGAGATAGATTCCAGTGTAATATCTGTCACTTGAATTAGCTACTGCCAGGAGATAGTTGGCTTAGCATAAAGAGTGAAAGCAGGGGAAAACAGCTATCCTGGCTCTGTCCAAAAAGGTAGAAAAAACACACCTAGCTGCACCTCTAAAGCCCACTAATGAACATTTTATGTCTTGTCTTTATAAGTAGTAAAAATAAAAACCCTAATACAAAAAGTGACTTTCTTTGGAAAGAGCCAGGCTAGCTGTTTCCCCATGTCTTTTTTATTCTTGTCTTTATGATAAATGTTTCTTTTGAGCATTATTTTGAAGTGTGAATTTATACTTCTAAATTGCTACATTCCAGAGGGAGTTGTACTTTTTTACTCCATTTTACCCTATATTTATATTCATTGGACATTTATTGTTACTATTGTCACTGTGCAGATTAAGACTTCACATTGAAAAAATATAATCATCTAATAATATATGATGCATTTGTATAGATCATACTACCAGACAGTTGTTAAAATGAGCACCACCTCAACCAGCAAATGCTGCTTGCAGATTATTGAATCATTAATAAATAATATTATAATAATATTACAGTAATTCTGCACATTCTGAGTAATTTCACTTTTGATACCTGAGTTAATTTTAATGATAATTCTGTAAATTTACTTAAGTATAATAAGCAGAACGTTTATTTTAAGTTAATAAATTGCTGTATTGCTGCTTAAAGGGAGATTATGTAATCTAAGACATCACACTTTCTTCTTCTTACAAATTAAAAGTTCAGTTCATAAGCAATAAAACACACCCTTGATCAAGTCAATACACTCAGAGGTGTTACAGTCTTACTCGGTCTGGTATGAGGCCGGTCTTATGGAGGCTAATGTTATCAAAATTAGATAGATACTGCTGTAACTGACATTACAGAGTCAATTTACTGGCTTTAGGACTCTACATTTTCAACATTTAACAACACCCCATAAATGACACCTGTGGCCACTTTTAGCTTTCAGTTAAATACCTGAATACATCTTCCATTGCAGGATTGAATGCTCAATTTAATTTTAAACTAAGCTGATGAGATACAAATTTTCTTTATGTGTGACAGCAAAATGGGAAAAAAAGCTTTTATTTAGAAATAATAAAATAATTCCATCTTGTCTGCCCCAGGTTTGAGTTTGGCGCCGCCATCTTCATCGCCTGGGGCGGCTCCCTCCTAGATGTCCTGGGCGGAGCCATGTTGGCCGCTTCCTGTCCACGAAAGAAACACGTAGCTAAGTACCCGTCCATGGCCAGTTCCCGCTCTGGTCCGCCGAGCAGCACTAAAGAATACGTCTGAGAGCGCCCCCTACAGCTTGGGACTCCAACAGAAGTTGACAGAGAAGTCTCCCCTCCCTCTTTTTTTGCAGCCCCAGCGAGGAGTAAAACTGAAGATTTATGGGAAGTTGTGAATTGTAGAAGAATTACTGAAATGGGACTTTCTTTCTTTTTTTGTTCAAGCAGGTCTTTGATAACCCCCCATTATCGCGCACCACTCTCAATTGTTTGATGAATGATGTCTCTCACCCCGTCCACACATTCCACAATTGTTTACAAGTGATCTTCACAAATACATTATAATTGGATCCCCTGACTTAATAGACAAGCCCCTGGGGTGTAACCTCTTGAATTGTAGCCTAAATGGTGGATTATAGCCAACGCTTGCACCTCTGTGTTAGAACCAGCATCTATTAGCATTTGCCATGTAATTGAAAGTAATCTATTCCAGTTAGGTGGCTAGGCTGCGACTCAGGGGTTCTGTACAACAGAGACACAGGGTGACAATACAGTGTTTTATATAAACCGTTGGTGGTTCTAAAATAGATGTTAGGATGAGCAGGGTGTGACTTTACACACAGGGCTCAGTGTGTAGGGTGACCCTATCACACAGGCCTTCTACTACAAACACCTACCACAGGCCCCGTAGCTCTTCATACCAGTCTGTTACAAACCCTGCTCGGATATGAAATATTTTATCATGTAGTCACTGTGCCGTTATCGCTCTAACAGCTTCCATATCAGCCACTATGAGATTAAACTGCCTGTATTTATTTTGTCAACCGTAGGGTGAAGTCGTTGCTCCTGTGTAGATTTATATAATTGGTAGTTCACCAGTTCTAGCTTTCAGAGATTATAGAGTCGTATTTTTATTAAGACTCTATTTTTTTTAAATGTCATAGTTTTATACATTTGGCTTATGTACTGTAGCAGATAATGGTGTAATGAATGAAAGAACATTTTTAACATGTCCAACAAATAAAAAGACACTGCAACATTGTTAATTGTGTGGTGGTTGTAGTTTTTTTCTTCATTGTTAGAAACAAAGACTGCCCCCACTCCCCATTAAAGACAGCAAAATGGAAAACAACCAAATTTTTCATTAGCATAAAATCAAATTTTAAAGTCAGTCTCCACTCAGAAATCTGGCTACTACGGCTACTACAGTCACAAATGAACCCACCATGCCACCAAGGACGGATTCCTTTTTATCTTTTTTCAGTTGCTAATTCAGTTATGTCTTTATGTGTTATGTATTTTTTTTTAATTGTTTTTAACAATCATACATACTTATTACAAATTGAGTGTTTTCTTGTCCCTGATGCTTGGCCATTGTTCAATTAGACTAGACTCTAGGTTTAGTGTATATTATATACTATACTATATCTAGTGTATAATGGTGTATATTTTTTTAGTTTTCTAGCATGCTTTAAAATCAAGAAGGCCACCACTGCACTAGTGAACTCCTTTAATATTAATTAAGTGTTGCATGGAGTGTTGCAGTTTTTCACTCTGACCACCAGAGGGCGCTCTTCATTAAGCTGAACACTACTATATTATTAGATTTAAATTCCTTAGTATTAAATGTCACAAAACATAGACAGATATATTTAAATGTATAATAAAGATTATGTAACATAAATATGAAGACACTTTATCCTTTATAAATGTAAACACTGTGAATGTGTATTTCCCCCGAAACAAATTCCATTACTGAAGACTTCAGATTAGACTCTATATTATTTGGTCCAACTTGGTCCAGTCAGCTGGAACAGAAATGAGGAGTTTAACTGGTGAAGCTCAGACACCAGGGCTGCTTTTCGTCACCCTAACGTGTCTCATTTTCCTCACTTGCTTCCTTTCCTTGCATCTGAGCTCCTCTCAGCGAGAGTTGCCCACAGAACAATTTCTAAACCTGCAGGTGCAGCATTTTTACATCACGCCCACACCACTTGATAAAAGACTTTCCTCGCTGTCAGCTCCTCCAGAAGCCTCCTCTCTCCTCCAGGTGCATTTAAGGAATTATTGTAAGTTAGTGTAATGAAAAGCTCCCCCATGACTCATTGTTATCTCCACTCCTTCCTCTGTAAGTCACTGTGACATACACCTTTCCTCCACACTCCCAGTGACAGACAGCACCTGAGGCCAGTAGCAAAGTTATTCACTTTGAGTAAACTTGTTTGCTACATGTTTGCTGGTTGGTGGGTTTTGAACATTTAATTGGCATCCATTAAGTCGTTGTATGAAGTACCAACATACAACCCCCAGCTTTGAAGGATGATGTTGTCTTTTGTTGGTTTAGAAAAATGTCCTACTTGTTAAGGCAAGAAAACTATTTAAAAACCACTCTTGGATTAGTTGGAAAATGCACTGTCACTACGCTGAAAACAGGGCTGTTTTTCTGAGCTCATGAAAAGGTGATCATAAGAGGGACGTACTCACAGGACAGCCTACAAAGATCTTATAGCATATGATGCATAGACGAGGGCAGCCCATCCGGGTACTCCCCTTTTGGGTGAAAGCAGTCCCTCTAATATGACTGGCAGCAAATGTATATTCCGAGGTCTTTGCCAATTTAATACTATAAAATAAGAATACTGTATTGCATTTTAGCTATTAAGAGCCTAAATCCAGGCAAACAGTGATTTAAACTCTCTTTATGTGAATTATTAAGGTTAAAATACACTGCTCCACACTGTCAAACCAAACTTTTCAAGCCCTTCCTGAACTCATTCAGAAGTTAAATTTATAACTACTTAACTTACTGTTAATGGTGTAGAAGTTACTGTTTACTGGTGGAAATACACCTTGGAGTGCAGCCAGGACATCTGCCATAACCGCCCGTCGACCTCTCCTAACAGGACCTGCCATGTTTAGGGTCCTGTCACATGTTTCACCTACTGATCCACAGTCACTGTTTGCATATTCTCTAAAGATTGAGCTTTACATTTAGCGACCCATTTAGATTTGACATTTATTTTTTACATATAAATATTTTGTTAACAATTCCATTTAACATATGTAACACATATTTCTGTATAAAATGTGAGAAAGTGCTAAATATAACCAAATTATAACCAAATTAGTATATTATATCCCTTATGTCTGGAGGGGTCTTTAAGCATACAGTATTTAAATATGTGTACCAGCCTACTCCATATATTGCCTGAAATTTGCATTAGGCCACGTCACGCAACTGTAATATTCTCTCTGGTTGGACATCTTAAAAACGCTTTGCATGGCAACTGGCACTGGCATGCCTACTGTGATGTCTGTGACTCAACTGCATCACTGAAAAGCTCGATTTCTCAGAGAAAAAGAGACGACTAGTATTTTTGGACGAGCTTGGAGCCTCTCTCTACATTTGCATCACACTTAAAACAGCAGTTAACCTTCACATGGGACTCGTTATGGATGAATGAGAAATGAACAGAAACTTTATTTTGAAATTTGCACTCTGCAGCCATGCTTTCTATGAGTTTAATGTGTGTTTAATTTATAAAAAAAAGTTATATGACTCCATTTGATGTTTTAGAAGACAAGTGCACCAGAACACCAGAGAAAAACTGTAAATCAGTGCAGTTAAAGTACATCCAGTGAACACAAAAACACGACGATTCCACAAAGATTCATCTTTTATTTCCCGAGATGCATTAAGAAAAGTCGACCATTTCCATGCAAATGGTAAACCACAACCCAAACAGCGATCTTTGAATCATGAGCTGTGAAATGCAGCGCTTCCATGACGCAAAAACAGTAAAAGTGAACTAGTAACAATTTCACAGCCAACTAAGTAACATGACATCAGCATGAGCCTTTACAGACAATAATATGTCATTTCAAGGTCCACTGCAATTTTTAAAAAACAAAACGCAAACAACATCAGTGTTAAGATTGTCTCAGCAGTGAGAGCTCATGCTTGTTTTCATGATCTCATACTGTAATTATAAAGTAGAGGTCGACATTAGCTTTAAATAGTTCACCTGAACCTGAAAGACACTGTGAAGCCATACGGGTGTAAGCTCAACGAGCAGACGGCTGCTGTGTAACTTCACATAAAGTAAGTGCTGTTCATCATGACGTGTCTGTGTGCCAATCCATTTTAATCATCAACCTGACATCGCATCGAATGTCATTTGGCAATTTATTCAAAACATTTTGAACTGTCTTTTTTTTTTAATCACAGTTGTCTGGCCAACTGGGAAACCCTGTGTTTCCAAAACAAACAGAACCTTCATAAATCTGTGGTTGTTTACGATATTTTACTGCCGAGTCTGCAGATCGCTTAAAGCTTAGGAAAATGTTGACTCAGCGCGATTTAAAGAGCATAACGGTGGCGTGGCTCGAAATACTACTACATAGCCCTTAATAAACAGGATACCAGTTACGTGTTTTTGATGCTTTAACAGACTCCATGCATAGAATTCTGCAACATGTCACTGCACATAACAGGCATTCCCACAAAGTGCACCATTTGGAAACATAATAAAATCTCAGTTATAGAAGCAATTTCCGTTCAGAAACAAGTAGAAAACATGTAGAAGCCATAACAACACAACAAAGTGCTTCTTCTCATTTTTTTTTAAACAATAAATAATTAGCAGTAGTTTTTTTTTCCTTCACTGTAAATAGCGAGCTTCCATCCACTGGATAATAGTACACCACTTTCATCAGTGTGAGAGTAGAGAATGATAGTCATTGCACAACCAAAAGCTTAACATTTCACCCGTGTGGTACACACATTAACAGGCGTGTGTCCCCCCCCCCCCNNTGTGTCCCCCCTCCCCCACGGCCAATCAGAAACCCTCGTCCGGAAAAACAGGCAGGTGAGAAGCTGCTTTTCATCTAACGCTTTGCTCAGTGCAACTTTAGAAACGTAGCCCTTGTTAAGAAGCTTTGAAAAATATAGACACTTCCTCCAAAACCTTTCTCGAGTCCTGAAAGTCTACCGCCTACCGAGGTATAGAGTAGAGGGCCGATGCAATACAATTCATTCACAGTCTGACCAAAGGAGAGTTTAAATAAACACTATGTACAATCAGGGCCTGTAGGCTTCAGTTGGCGCTAAATGAGCCGTGTTTTTTGTGCCGTTTGTGCAGCCATCAGAAGAAGCTTCAGTAGGACACTTGGACAGGCTCGAGGCCAACATCACTGACGGGGAGTTTTGGCGTCCCGGGGGATTTTCCTTTTTTCTTTCCCTTTGGCACTTCTTGGTGAAGTTTAGGAGATGGGCGACAGGGATACAGGACACTGCCCGTTGTTGTTCATGATGTCATCCAAGTCTTCATCCTCCAAGTCCACTGTGGAGGGAAGGTCAAAGGTCAGGAATGTGTGCCTCTAGGTGAGGAATGCATTGATACTAATACCAGCAGAAA